GGGCGAGCCTTTAGCTCCGAAGACTAGACGCGTATTTTGGTACCGCTTAACTCCTTGATTAGTCGGCCACAAGATTCGTAGTACATTTTGGTCGTCTTCTTTCATGCTTATCTGCATAAACATGCCTTTTATATCACCAGAAACTGCTAGTGGTTTTTCTCTCTACCTCATTAGCAAACTAAACATGTTAATAAGTAGATCCGGTCCCGTCTCTAAAAAGAAATTGAGAGAAACGCCCTTGAATTTCGATGCAGCGTTTTTTACACGTCGAAGTTTATCATGGTTTCTGGGTATTTATAATCGGATGGTGCGGTAGGTACCATATTCGCAACGGTGGCGGATGTAGGAAAGTGACGGGTTTCACGTAACCTCTATCAATATCAGTTAATAATGATTTGTCGAGTTGAATTGTGAGTTTGTCCTTTTGTAGTCGGTGTTGTAGAGATTCAAGTTGAGATTCAGCAACAAACTAGTTATTGTTCTTCCAAAGCAAAATGATTCGGTAGCCAGTTTCGTCGTGTTGAATGCTTTGTTGTATAAACTCCAAAATTAGTTCGACCATGTTCGATTGTTGCACTGCTCATCTAAAGACTTTGGATAAAGCGGGCCGGTTATCGTCAAACCCAACAAGTTGCGCACTCCATACGGACTGCCAGCAGGACCCTTCAAAATGTCCCTTTCTGCGATATGCCAGGAAGCGTCGAAGCCTGGTATCTATTTGTCGTGGAGGAAACGGAATGTGTCGTAGATGGTCATACCGGGGACATACGTTGTTCAGTTTTGCGACATCTATCAAATCGAAGTTGAGCGTATCAACCGAATAGACTGATTGTAGAGTAAACGTAGTAGAAGTAGGTTCTATAGTGTAGTTGAACCAGATTTGACGAAACAGTGTCCTCACTAAAAGCACCATAAATGCTGAATACAACTGTTCGACTGGGCTTACACTGTAAGGTGTCAGCTATACATTTCAGGACATAAGAACAAATTGATGTTGTTGGATGTCGCTGGACAGTTTTATCCTGATTTCTATGTAAAGTAGAGTGGTGTTTTCCTCCGCAGTTTTCTATGATACAACGTCTTCCAGAAGTACAGTCAGTTGACCTATGGTTATCCAGGCAATTGAATCACACTTGCTTATCTTTCACTAGTTTTTTTTGTTGCGTAGTTAGCTTTACAAAAGCTGGGCAATGCTAATGTAGCGATCCTCATTGTCCAGATGACATAACCATTTCGATTTACTTCGTTGGTTTTTGAAGTTAATCTTTTTTTTTCGGTATGCTGGCTGTTACGCATGGTTACGAAAGATTTTTGCGGTTGGTTTTTCCAACCTTTGTTTGCCGTAAAGGGTCGTGGTGCATCAGGTAAATTTTCTAAGTTCTCGCAAGCTCTAAAGTAGTTGTTAAGTCAGTCCGTGAGATCTTTGAGCATAGCATAGTCCATCCCATTATGTATGCAGTGTTCTTCTCATTTGAACATGACTGCTGGAGGAAGTTTAGAGCGAGTAAGGTTCAAGTCGGAGTTCAGGTTCATTAACATGCAGTTGCTCAAAGTTTTCCAGCTCCTTAGTAAAAACTGTAACAACGAATTTAGGGTTGCCACATCTGCGAATTTGCTTCGCTATTGCTTGAATATACTGTGAGGAAATCTTACCGTAGCTCTCCAAAACATTTTTGGCTTTACCGACACACAGGGACTGCAGGTAAGTTATTTTTCGAAATCAGTTAACTTGGGATTGTTTCCGCAGTTCGGAACAGCTCAAACTAATTAATCAATTCTAATGGATTACCGTCGAACTTTGAGAGCTTAATATCAGGAAGCTTGAAATCTTAGAGAATGTAATGAAATGAGTTGTTGCTCGTGTTCTTATCAATAAAGCGGAGGCCGTGATTGACTGGAGTCACGATTCCTGAACACAATCGATCCGTAGAGTGCATGTTGAGACCTTTAGCACTAGTTTGCGGCTGTTGTAGTGATGTATTCAATGGATATTGAAACCAGGTCGATCGTTTATATCATCATATTGTCGTCGATGTGATGGCCATGGAAACTGTTGCATAGATATCGAGTTCTCTGCCGTAGTGTATATTCCTTGAGTAGGGTAGTCGTTGCTGGTTGGCTGCCTAAACCCTAACTTGTTAGCTGGTACCGTTGTTGTAGTAGTAAAACAAATGGCTGCCGTAGAAACGTTGTACGTGTTGTTATAAGTTGAAGTGGAAGTTCGGACGGGAATACTACTGCTAGCTGGGATCGTATGTGAAGATAGTTGCAGAGTAGAGTGACTGGAGGAGTCATCTATCTGTATCCCGTTTTAGATTTTTTCGTATCGTCGCATTTGTTTCATTAGCGAACATTTGCGGCTTCGTAGTGAAAAGGCATCATTTAAAAGATTTTGCACGTCTGCTAGAGGGCACGACGCTATATCATCTGCTAATTCTTGCAGGCGTTTCAAAAGCTCATTAGCCGTTGTTTTAATATCCTCTAATTAGTTAGATTGTGCAATTTCGCTGCTAAGTTGTCGTTCAAGGCAATCGAGAGAATTGTAGCGAAACGTCTAATTGTTTATGAGCGCTCGAAATTTTTAGCGCCATCGTTAAAGTAGTGAAAAGGTTATAGGAATGGCTTAATAATGTTAGAGGAGAAGTTATGAAATGGATTCAAGCAGGTTAAGGTATCCCTTGTTTTTTTTGTAGACAAAAGATACGAGCGGGCCTGTTGGCACTACAAGCGTACGTTTTTCGTGTAGGGCTTTTGTATGCTTTTAAGAAAATATGAAGTATCACGTACTTCAAGTATTAAGTACCAAGTACTTTTGATAGTTTTTTTTAGCGATGAAACTTGACCGAGAATACAATTTTTTACTTTTCGATTACGATGAAAAAACTTCTCAATGGTTCAAATTTTTTAAAGTGAAATAGGATAGCTTGAAGAGTTTTGAGACTTTCAATGGTTTTCTTAATGAATTCTTTTTAGGTTATGGTTAAAAGAACTGTTCAGTTATGAGTGAAGGATACCGTTTGATAACAAAACATACTTTGGATAATTAAAAGCAAAAGTGTTGGGCTAAAAATATTTTAGGCTACTGAAAATTCAAGGCAAAAGTTTTGGGCTACAAAATGTTTAGGAGGCCTTTGAAAATTTAAAGCAAAGGTTTTGGGCTAAAAAAATTTTGTGTAAGGAATTTTTTTGGTGCTAAGATTTTGTGACTGAACCTCTTTATTTAGAATTTTACTATCTGGGTACCCCGAGGATTAAAAATTAATCTGGGTATATGGCAAAGTTATGGAACTTAAGCGAATGATGAATTCAAAGCACCGTAGATATGATTTTGAAAAATTTATGCATGGTTATGAGAAAAAAGTTTGAAAATGAATCTGCCCTGAGTTTTGAAGTGACTGTGAAGAGCTGCGGAAAGAGCTGGTAGAATGTTGGCACGGTTTGCTGGCCTTGAAGATGTAGAGGTCCTGTAGACTTCGATGTTTTTGTTGGAGGGGGGACCTCTGAGACCGTCCTCGCAGTGGCAGTCGCAGTGGGGGATCTCTGAGGCAGCCCGTGATTAAGATTGATGCCCGTGTAGTCTCTGGTGTCAGATTTGGTGGACCTTTGTTTTTGATTTTCTGTGGTCGCCGAATATCCAAGAATCTTGGTTCTCAAGTCTAAATTGTCAACATGCAATAAAATTACCATCATATATGTAGTAGTTTGGTGAAGTTCATTTTAGGAAGAAATTGTATATAAATAATAAATTTATTGAAAAATTCTATCTGTCTATATCTATCTATCTATACTATATTTAAATGCGTATGACAGTTATCTCATCATGTTTAAGTTTTTTTTTCAATTTTACCTGTTTAACGAAAGAGCTTTTGCGCGTTTAAGAGAAATGCGGTCTTTTTCCACCAACACAAGTCGCATATTTTGTTAACATGAACTAATTTGTTAGTGCAAGTGGGGTACTAGTTCTTAATTAGCCGGAGAACGTAGCGCAAATCCCGTAGTCTCCGAAAAAGGTCTTCAAGGCTTAATTTTTTTAGACTGTTTTCATCTTTTGTTTAGTTTTGGTTGCTCATATGAAGAACATAGAGCTAAAAAAAAAGTTCGGTAAAGCAGATTGCAAGGATCAAGTTTTTGGAATAAGAATTAAATAAGTTTCAGCTAAATGTTTTTTTCTTAGTTTATTAATAAAAATAAATTTCTAAGCGCCTCTTTTTATACCCGTTTGGTCATTTTTCAATCAAAATTTTCACTTTGTGGTCAAATTCTAAAAATGTTTGACTAGTTGTCTTAAAGTGGTTGCAAACTGTTTTGCCAGCCAGTTTTTTGTCTATAGAAGATCATTAAGGTTGATTTTTTGGTACGTCTTTCAATGACGTATGAAAATATAGGAAACCTGAAATAGTTAATTTGCTTTTTTATTAGACTTTTACGAAGTTTCGATAAGGAAGCAGATTTTTGTCCTGTTTTGAGATGAAGATATCAGTAGAAGCAAAATGTATACTAGCTGAATTGGAATGCGCAGTGCAAGGAGCAGTTTCTGCCATCGTTTGGATTCATAATAATGGTCAATCACTCAAAAAAACTTCTCCTAGGAAGGAAATTCAAATTAATAACTGGGCCAAATAATGGCTTTGTGTATATTCCAATTGGACTACTTAGAAATACTCGCGAGTCACAGATGTTTAGAAGGACAATTTATCCACAAATACAAAAAGTCCGTGTATAGCTGTATATACATAGCGAAAGCCTTCTTGCACAAATAAGTGGCTCATTTTCGGTTGTTTGAAATTTTTCTGATGAACTGACATTGTGAATAAGTAGTAGATACCTGGGCCCGTTATCTCATCAATCATCATAACTGTTGAAAAGGCCATAAATGCATTGCAGTCTCCTCTTTTTTATTTTTCATGAACGCGATAGCTTTTTTTATTCATGAATTCTCTAATTTTTCTAGCCTATTGAGTAGATACTAAGATTAAATCTAAATTTTTTTCATGAGCTAGGTGTCGGAGACTATTTCACAAGTGGGATTGATTTGGCAAATTTTGCTGGCATCCCGTCTATGAGTGAAGAAGAAAGAATAGCGTTTGCAGATGAACACCACCTTTATATTCGTTACCTGTTTGATGCTGCTATAGACCATGAGAAGCCTCTGTTTGTGCTCGCCAATGGTCCTGCAATTGGTCTAGGAACAACTGTGTTAGGTGAGTTATCAATTCATACAGATCACGCAGTTAAGGTTTTTCATTCACCATAGTGATGAATTAATTTAGCGATAGCTTAAAAAATTATTGGTGATTAATAAAGCTATAGCAATGGTGATTAATAAAGCTTCGAAAAAAAACGCTTCCAGCTTGAATTGAACGCCCAATCTAGCGCGCCCAAAGATTACGTCGTATCAGGTGAGCATGATGTGAGTTGCTCTTGTTCAATCAGCAAGATAATAATATACTATCTATTTTATCCGCGTGGTGCACCCTGGTCTTTAAATCCTGCTTATTTATTAGAGTTTAAGTTTCTTTTAGATTTACCACAAAGTCTTCATAAAATTGACATGTTATTTTGCTTTCAGGTCTGTGTGACGTAGTTTATGCAACACAAAGAGCTTTCTTCCTCACCCCGTTTGTTACCCTTGGCATTAACCCAGAAGGGTGCTCCTCCCTAATTTTCCCTCAAATGCTAGGCAACTCAAGGTCAAATCGACTATTGCTGCTGGGAGAACGAATTTCTGCTCACGAAGCGAAACAGTTTGGACTCATTACTGATGTATTTGAAGATGAAATGTTTGAGAAGAAATGCGAAGAAAATATTGATCACGTTTTGACAAAATTGAACATTGAGGGAATGATGAAAGTGAAAGCGCTCACTTTTGACGAAGAAAAGAGAAAACTGCTCAAAGAAAGAAACAGAATTGAATGTGAAATGTTAAGAGATTCGTTTATGTCTGAACAGTTTAAACATAAAATTGCTAAAATGTTCAAAAATTAGATATCATTTTTCTTATAATTATAATTTTTGTCGCCGAATTAATTTTTAACCATCTTCAACAGTGCCCAAAACGATGGTTTTATTTTTTCCGACCATTGAAAATGAAGAGTAACTTTGTTCTCTGGCTTATTTTATTTTTCTTTATTTTCCATGCAAAATTAGTTACCACATATGTTTATCAGAATGGGTCGAGAGATATCATATATAGGCCCTTTCAGTCGGGATTTTAAAAAAAAATTCAGCGTCGAGAAAGACCCGTTTGAAATTTTCGATTTTATAGTCTTGTTTCGCGCCAATATAGTTAGCTTATAATAGTAGTCTTTTAAATCGACTTAAGCCCTGAAAATGTAAATTTACTCCTTTAAAGAAAATTTATGAAGTTTTTGTTTGCGCCTTTTTGGGAATAAAGATTTTTTTTTCTTTTTTTAATTTAAATTTGTTTTCATATGTACTTATTCCAAAATTTCCGAACGTGAACGACGGTTTCGAACGTGTTTCTAGTTTAGAAAGTGGATATTAATTTTAAGATTTCCCAGTGGAATCAAAACTTTACGTATTGATCCATCTTGAAGTTCAAAAAGCATTAAGGCCATAAAATTTCTATTTTGAAATCCGAAAGTTTCCTTGACTCTTTTCCAACTGTCTGCTATGTTTAACAGTCACGTGTTTTTGTCAAATTTTTTTTCTAATGTGAACAAGTGGAGCGTAGTGTAGTACTAAGAACCAACTTTTTTTTCCAACCTAGGGCGCAAAATAAAGTGCTCATTTGATGACACTTAGGGTATTTTTCCAGCCATAGGCAATTAAATAGCATTTATTACTGCTTTATTGGTGGCTGTGTTAGGTTACTTCCCAGCGACTGTGACACAGAGTTGCCTAATCTCCGGGTTGGTGGCTCGAATGCGGCGCATAGCAAAAGTTTTGTTTTTAAAGGCTTATTTTGTCTTTTTTATTTATTTCACTTTATTTCGCTTTTTAGAACTAGGTTTTGCGGTTTTTTCGCTTTGTTTGCGATTATTGAAAAAATTTCAAATGACTCGAAAAGGCGTGAATTAGTTTCTGTCCGCATTATAACTCAGCAAGGGTATCGCCATCGAGTACTCGATGTTTTTTCCGTAAATAATTTTCTTCACGAAATGATGAAACTTGGAAATAGTAGATTTAGGCTCCATTCATAATGATTTCAAATTTCGTAGCGATTTTGGCACACTTGCTCTCTAGGTTACGAATACGCCTGGGACAAGAAAGGTCCTGGGTTTGAATCTGACAGGACAGTTTTTTTTTCAAACCGAAATATTCCGTTTCAAAAAAATTGTGGGCGCATTGTTTCGTTTGCTGTACGCAGTTTACAGTGCAGTTACTAGCCTGTTTGTCATTTTACTTATCTTCTAATTTTCGATTATTTTTCTATTCTAAAACTTTATTTGGCTCTAATGGTTCCCAAATTTGGCTGATTTTTTATCGGCTTAGTAACCTTATTTTAGGTCGTTTCAAGGGAATAACAATTTTTATGCTCATCTCTGGATGTCACAAAATGCTGAAGATCTTAGAATAGAAATTATACTTCAAATATTTTCATGACAACAATGTTGTTTTCGGTTCTACGGTAATTTACCCAAGTTTTGTCGGAGCACTGTCACTCTATAATTGTTTTTAAGTTTTCTTTCAATGTCGTCGATTGCGTTTGTGGATGTGTTTTCGACAAGTAGACCATCAATGCAGAATAAAATTGGAAATTTTTTTGTTGTGGTTTTTTGATATTTTTTCATTTCTTTACTCAGTGGCTCTCCTTTCCTTTCATGTCTGCTGGCTCGCAATGCTATTTTTGTCGTATCGCAAGTGGTGAATATATGAATCATGTAATTGGAAAAGTGACCATAAACGCAAAACTAGTTGATATCAAAACCAGCAAAGGCTAGGGTTGGTCCAGATACAGGGTTCTAGACACAAACTGCCCATGTGTGCCACAATTTATGTTTTTTTTGGAAAATTACTTCGACGTCTAGTTAAATTGTTCTGAGATGTTAGTTTCGCAGACTTCCTCAGCACTAAGGGCTTTGAGGTTACTGAATAAGGAACGCTTGTTGTTTTTCATTCAAGATATACCTGGCTCTTCTTTTTTTAACCATCTTAATTTATGCCTGTGTGTAAGATGGTGGAACTTACCAGCAAACATTTTAATCCGATTGTGCAATTATTTATTATTAGACTTTTCGGCTACAGTTTCGTTCAATGGCAAACCTAAATCATTTCAATGTTCCTTAACTATGCCCTCACTGACCAACTGAAATGATCTTGAAAAAATTTTGAATGATATTTTTCATGACAAACATGATTCGCCTTTCAAATGGACTAGCCAATAGGTTTACCACGATGCTTGAATCAGTTCCCTCTTGAATTAAATTTACTTGCAGTTGCTGGAAGTATGCTCGAGGTTTGTCTTATTTCTTGCGACTTTATAGGTTTTTGATGTTTTGTATCCCAGGTTGATCAAAAATACTAGTCCTTGAAAAACTTTACAGTTCCATAGACCATAAGAAATCATTGAATTAACATTGATTCAATTTTTCCATAAATAAATTGTCTGACTACCATTTTTTCCATAAATGGAATTCTGATTACGAATAACAACTGAGCATTAAAAACCATAGATTAAGTGGCAATCTTAAGAGATGACTTGCATTTTGATATTCACCATTAAAATTTATATGTAGAGTTTCACACATAATAATATCAAGAAAGCGTAACTTTTCTTTCTTAAGTATAGAAAGCTTCAACTTCTGACATTTTCAGTGGTTTACGGTTACGGTTAGAGCCTGTTTCTTCGACAGGTTTTAGGTTATATTACATCAAAACAAACATCTTTCTGGCTGCACCCAAACGAGTCATCATGGTTACATTTTTTTTCTGAAATGTCTGGAGTACGTAACCGACAACACTTACAATTTTGTATGCGATTTGGAATTTGTTTGATAGAGCGTTGAAGTGATTATGGGGCTAAAGAGACATTTGAGAAGTTTTCCGGAATTTTCAATTCATTTTTTTGGTAGTCATGGAAAAATACTTACCTACATTACTGTATGTTAAGCGTTTTCAGTTTATGGACGACAGCTCGAAATCCTAACATCTCTGTGCACTTCTCTGTTTTAAGCTCCGCTTACATCTGTGTTCCTATTCTGTGGCTTAAAATAAGTGTTTCATCTACTTGCTAACTGGGTGCAATTTCTTTCTTATATAAAAAAACATCGATAGTGCTTGAAGTTTTCTGTTCTTCTTGGTTAAGAGTAATGAACGTAGTGAAGACTCTTATATATGTCTTAGTGAATTTTTCAGGAAAATGTCCTAAAATATCTCTAATAACTACAGATGTGCATTCATGTATGCTGATGCATTAATGATAGCACTTAGGTATATATGCACTTTTTGAGTTCAATTGAAATTCATCTGCTCAAAGTGACGTAAATAGCACTCTCCAAATACGAACGTGAAAATGGCGCGAAAAAACGAGTGCGATTTCTAGCTTCAAAAGTGGATTTTATTTTAAATTTTCCAGCGGAAGAAAAAATTTTATCCATTGATCCAGTTTTCTCAAGTTGGGTTATGTTATCAAGAAGTGCCAATCATAAATCATTTTAGAAATTCAAAGAGCTTAAAGGGCATCTAATTTTTTTTCTCTAAAGGCATCTATTTTTCATCAAATTCAGTGTTTTTTTTGCTTACTTGCGTTCATTACTCTTTTCCAATCTTCGATTGGCTATGTTTTTAAGAGTCGATGAACTAAGTTTACTCTTATGCAGGTCGTGATTTTTTTCAGGAAAAGATTTAAAATGCTCCAATAACACAAGAAGTGCTTTAATACTTATAAATGCACCTTGATGGCCTTAAGTATATATGCACTCTTTGAATTCAGTTCAAGTTTATTTGTTAAAAGGTAGGCAAACTACCTTCTCCAATTATGAAAGCTGAAATGGCGCGAAAAATCTTCATCGTTTGATAGTTTCGAAAGTGGAATTTAGTTTGCAGCTTTTCCATTGGAATAAAAGCTTTTCGTACTAATCCAGTTTTCTCACAGGTTAGTTTTATCAAAAAGTACCAATTATAAATTGCTATTGAAATTCAAAGAAGTCCATACATTTGTTTGTTTGATATTCGAATTTTAATTTTAAAGAAAAAAGTCAGTTTTTGCGTTCATTTTTCTTTTCCAGCTGTCTGTTGGCTATGCTTTTTAATTGGAGCTTGCTGAAATTACGAGACGTTTAAAAAAATAAGTCGTTTTTTGTTTTAGTGACAATGAACGTAGTGACGAATCTTATCTATATGTTGATTTATTTCAAGAAAAAGTAATATAATTTGTTCACGCTCAATTTTGGTCACGCTCAACACCAATTCAGGATTCTTGGAGCCTAGGAAATTAGACGAGAAGCAAATTACACGACCGTTAAAATACAGAGTTTAGGCGATAATTTTTTGTGAATTAAGACAATAAAATTTGGGCAAAAAGAATTTTTTGGGTAGAATACAGTTATACAACAAAATAAGTACTGATCAAAATTTTTTATTGTAAGTTACATATAAAACATTCAAGCGAAAAATAAATTACAATTTTGAATTGCATAATTTATACAGCTCAGATCTTAAACCTGATTTGCGGTTGAACAACCAGTATTTACTCAACCAAAATCGATCTATATCTAAACTATTTTTAAATGCGTGTGACACATATCTTGCCATGTTTAACCGTTTTTTTGCAACAGTTAAGGGCATAACGTATCTATGCGTGATTATGCTATGTCGTATATTGCAATGCGTAATTTTTTTTTCGATTTTCCATTTTGAATATAGTGTTGGTTCCACCGAGTTAAAATTTAGAAACACAAAATTGGGATGCTGTAAGAGTTTCTCCAGGGGTTGCGAGTTTGTTCTCCTATTGAAAATGCCCAACTCTTTTTATTGTACGAGATAAGACGATTCTTGTGATTTTTTTCTAAACATTTTCAGAAAACTCAACTTAAAAAATAATTTTAAAAATT